CACACACACACACACATACTCACACACACACAGATTGTAAATAGTTAAAGAGAGACCTAGAGATACATACGAAGATATATCTCAGAACGAACGAAGGAGCTTTATTTTCAGCCACAAATCAGAATGGGGGGGGGGGGGGGGGGCACGATGACAAGTGATCGTTCTTGTACAGGGATATCAGAAGCGCTGGTGTCAGCTGTTTGAGGAATGTTGTCACAGATGTTACTGCGGCTGACTTATTTGTACAGCAGTCCATTTGAGCTGGCCTACACTTAAATATTTGTTTACGGCTGTCTGTGTGTTGACGAGTGTAGCTTTGGTTAACTGGCTGGTCAGTAAGTCGATGAGTAGGTATGGGTGGTTGATGGGTAGATAATGAGTCAATAGATTGGGTGGATGGATAGGTAAAAAGATGGATGGACGGGCTCTGGGCAAATGAATGAACAGACGGACAGACAGAAGATGATAGACAGACAGGTAGTGGGGGCGGTTTGGGGGCAGGAGGGGTGGAAGGTAATGTTGATGGATGGATTGATAGAGAAGTAAACAGGCAGATAGAAGGATAGATACGCCTATAGGTAGATAATTAGGCTTGGTAAATAACCGATGCATATCTTTATAGGTGGGTTGGCAGTTTATTTGGTAAGTGAATAACAGATAGATAGCTACAAAGGTGGGTTGGCAGGCTGGTTGGTAGGTGAATAACAAATAGGCTGGTAGGTAGCTACAAAGATGAGTTGGCAGACTGGCTGGTAGGTAAACAATACATAAATACCTATATAGATGGGTTGGCAGGCTGACTGGTAGGTGTCTTGGTAGGTAACATAGATAGATACATTATCTGATCAGCTGGTTGGTACATAAATTAAATATGTAGAGTGATGGATAGATTAATGGGTAGAACAAGTAAAAGAATGCTTGGATAAACAAACTTTATTTTCAGAGAGCTGTAAATTACATGTGTAGACATTTCTGACATTTTCCTCTCTCTACTTTTTTACATTATTCTATTCATAAATCTCTTATTGGGATTGTCTTGAAAGATAACAGTATAAAAATAAATGTGGGCTGTCTCGGCAGTGAAGTCTGGCAACAATGCACTCATAGCTGTCTTTGGGAATACTGCATGGTGAGGCCGTAATCTCTTTTTCAGGGTGGCTCTTGTACTACTGTCTGAAACCATGATAACAGTTGTTGTTTTTTTTTCACCAACCAAAATCCAACCCTAGTGCTTGAGGATCATGAAATTGTTTATCGCATTCACTAACCACTAAGTCACAGAGCTACACAACTGTATATATTAGTCGAGCTAAATGAATTTATAACAGTAATAAATACATTACAAAAGTACAAGACGTGCAGAAATTCGTTTACCGCACTACTCATTACGATGACATGAAAGGTAATAACAGCTGCCATACTAATAATGGTAGTTGTAATTCTTTTTTCTAGCTTTCACCGGCGGAAAGTTCTAGTTGTTCTACCACTTCTAGACTTTGGTCTTGAGAGTTTTGAGTGCTTATTTGTGTGCAAACTGTTGGTTCCTTTCCTCTCAGGCAGATGATCTCTGACTTCAAGGAAAACACCCATAATTAGTCACCTCTGACAACATGCTTATCAAGGGAGCAGCGGGTCTGTTCCCCCCCCCCCTCTCCCTTTCCTTTCCCACCAGTTTGGTCCTGGATTCCATTTGGGGAGATGACTAAAAAAGGCTAAAGGAAATATATACCCCCCCCCCCCCCCCCCCCCCCCCCCCCCCGTGTGGGTTCCGGGGCCCCATTGTGGGGAAAACAAGAATAGACCCACTGCCTCGTCGTAAGAGTCGACTAATTGGGGAGCTTCCTTTGAAGTCGGAGTCCATCTGCCGGAGAGGCAAGGAACCAACAGTCTGTATTCAAGAGAATGAGATCTGTAAAACTGATGCACACGCATCACTCAGGTTCTGGAGCAAGACTGCAGTTCAGTAGTGGACGAGCAACCAGAACTTTCCACCAGAGTGTACAGCTGGTGAATGCGAAGAAGAAGAAGAAGATACCACAGAACAAAATTCTAGGTTGCTTTGTGTACCAGAATTTTTAAGGGGAGAGTGAGACTGTACCAGTATAGTGTTTAAAAGTTTACGATTAAATGTGTCGGGGCTAGTTGTATCTTGAATTCAGAGTGAGTGACTGTTCCACATTTAAGCTGTATGATATAAAAAACATAGCATGTAAGACTGGCATTCCTAGAAAGAAGTAGACATATCAGGTCACACTAGACAACATAAAAATTGAAAGCTGTAGTTAACCATAAGAAAACTGACCCTCTGAAATGCAACATCAAAGTAAATGGTAAGTCATCGAGCAAGCTGATATGTTTAAGTAATTAGTTACCCTGATAATATCAGGTGAAAGGCCTATAAAGAAGTTAAATGTTGAATTAGCTCAGGCAAAGGCAGCATTTTCAAAATAAAGAATATTTTATGCAGTCTTTCTTTGTCAGTTGAAACGAGAAAAAGAATTCTTAAAAGCTATATAAATCATATTCTAATATCAGGAAGTGAGTCATGAACCGCTGGTAATTAGTGAAAAATTATTTGGAAGCTGTGGAGATGTGGTTTTGTAGACAAATAAAAAGAATTCCCTGAACAGATAAAAATAGTAATAAAGATGCTTTTAAAGAAACTAATTCATAAAGAGAGCTGATTGCTCACATCAGAAAGAGACAATCTACATTATTTGGTCTTGTGATGAGAAGAAGAAAACTGGACCAAATTGTGACAGGTGGAAAGTTGGAGGGGAGGAGAGGCACAGTGAGACTGAGAGAAAAGATGCTGGAAACCACACGGCATAAACGTTTAGAAAAAGTTAACCATACCAGGACACGAACATGTTGCTGCTAAGTCTTGATTCCGCTTCGCTGCAGAAACAGGTGTATTTTTTACTCATGACCAACTTGCTGCTGAGGGACTAACTCGCTGCTGAGTTTACTGGTGTTGTTTTGTATGAATATCCAAGGCTTGGAGTTACAGAATATTTTTAAGACTTGTGGTTTCTAGCATCAGTTTCAGCGACCAGCATAATGTGCACTGAGGTGAGATCTGGTTTTGTGAATACATTTGGACTTATTGAAAAGATGACCTTTGCAGGTCGATAGATGTTTGTATAGATTATAAATCCTTCACTGTCAGAGTCCCCATGTGGGTTTTAGGGAGAGGTAATAGTAATAGACTCACTACCGTCCTGCCAAGCATATTGTTCAGAGTGACTAATTAAGGATGTTTCCGTCAGAGGACATCTGCCTGAGAGACAAGGAACCAACAGTCTGCATATAAATGAGCCAGAAATGTAAAACAGGTGTGCACACAAAACTCAAGTTCTGAAACAAGACAGTAGTCCAGAAGTGGACAGGCAACAAGAGACTATTATGATTACTGTGAAATAAACCTACAGCACATTTCTGGGGTGAATTAAGTCAACTAGTGATTTGAATAGAGCAACCTTTCAGATTTTGGAGCAGTATATTATGTTTTTATGCTGAAGAAATGTAATGAATACAAAGCAAGGGAAAGACTGTGCAAGAGATGGAGCGACATCATCAGGAGCAACCTAACATAAATGAACACCAGTTTGTACAATGCATTGGAAAAAGCGCACAAACGATCCTCCCCCCCCCCCCTAAATACCTCGCTAAGGTAAATGATGGAAGAGAAGAAGAATTTTTTGTTCTCTGCGTGTGGGAAATAGTAAATTTCTTTCATGTATTTTATTAAAGGAAATTTTAGATTTTAACATGTTGGTAAACCTTTTTGATGTTCTTCTTATGTATTTGTCCTTACGAGGACCTTTGATGCGTTAGCTTTTTACATTAAATTTAAAAAAAAAAAAACAGACAAACAGTTGACATTCATAGAAAGAAGTAAAAAAAGATAAAAGGACATACTATACAAATCAAAAGCTATAGTTGCTATGCAAATGACGAATACACTCTGGTGTGGAAACAAGTGAACTAGCTTTGTTTATAGGCAGGCTGCGATATCTGCGCCTTTTGGGCCAATATGTGGGATTCCAGCAAACCCTTAATTAGCAGCCTTTTACTAGAGTGTTTTTGTTTTTAACCCTTCCACCCCTAGAAGCTGAAAAACTGACACTTCCAGTTGGGACCACTTTTTTTTTTTTTTTCAAGCCAAGTTGACATCATATTTTTTTATAAGCCCTAATGGTAAAGGTCATGGAATCACAACATGGGTCACCCTATATGCGCGTGTATTTGAGGCCCCAGGAGATGTATTCAGTTTAATGCTTCACTCTGTTGGTTTTTATTGTTTACTCCTTTCATATGTCTTTATATATTTTAAAAAACTATTTTAAAATGTTAAGTACATTGAAAATGAAATTATTAGTGACCAGGGCAAAAACTGTTGTTGTTTAAACATTTTTTTTTTTTCAGAAATCCTTTTGGGGCGAAAGGGTCTGCCATGCACAGAGGGGATGAGGTAGTTGGGCCCATTTCGAAAATAAAAGACAATGAGAAGCAAAATTCTTTGTCTTGAAAACATATGTCATTTGTTATTTACAGCCATTGGGGAAATTCAAGAGTATCTGTATTTTGAGTCTAGGCATACCTAAAGTAAAGGACTTTTTCCAAAGCCTTCAGGCGTATTGGGCATATAGGTCCAGATCTATATTTTATAGAGACTTGGTAGGTGATGTGGTCAGCATCATGCAGGCCGCTTTTATTTCCCAGGACCGCACCTGGTACCCACTCAAGACTGGATCGACCTGGGAGTCAGGTGATTTTTTTTTTTTAAGTCTGGCTCCGTCAGGACTCGAATCCATAACCTTCTGATTCGCAGGTGAGCGTCTAGCCACTACACCACGGCAGCTACACCCTTTGAACTTCTGTACTTGTCATAAAATAACGCATTTGACTGGTTAAACTAGGGGGTGGGAAAAGTTTAAGTGCTGTATAGAAAAATTCTTCATCTTGAAAACATGTCTGCCATATGTTGTTATTCACAGCCATTGGTGAAGTTCAAGAGTCATCTGTACTTTGAGGATAAGGATAATGTCAGTGATACAGAGAAGCTGCTTCGGCCAGCTAAAGGCAGCAAGGTAGGTCCAGGACACCTTTTTTTAAAGTCTTAGTCTTCGTCAAGGTTTAAACTTTACTGACATCAGGTAACACCATACTTGCTTCGTTCCAGTGCCAGTGAGAAAAAAATAAAATTTCCTTCACTGTTCCATTTGAAAAACTCGTGAACAAACAATTGTCCCGGCACACTCCAGAAATATGTGCATGCAGTAAATGCATTTGGCAGTTGCTAGGAGTGCCAAAGCCAGCACTCAGCACCAGAAATGCAGTTTGTTGTTGATGGAAGTAGTTGGACCTGATCTGTTTGCTACACACTCTTGTAAAATGGTTAAATAAGGTATTTCACCAGTCCACACGAAAACAGGCTACTGGCCATATTGAATACCACGACTCAAATGCTGCACAAATGAAAGGCATTCCACATGAAAAACACAGCTCAGTGAAAGTAGCTGCTACATCGAGGCAGCTCCCAATGCTTTCTGTTGCAAGTTTTTGTTTGTTTTTTGTTCAGGTTACATTCCCAAAGACAGCAGCTTTTTCACTGCAGACAACTCTTATTGTGGAAACCTTCATTTCTGTTTAATGTTTGGGTATACTGGTAGAGGGAGAAGAAAGTGTTAAAGTGCTATAAAGAACTTGTGTTGCTATAAGCATGTGAGACTTGGACAGTAAGCAGACAAGATGACAAACATTTACTCCAGCTGAGATTTAGATATTTAGTTAGTTAGCTAGTTAGTTAGTTAGCTAGTTACTTAGTTAGATATTTAGTTAGTTAGTTAGGTGGGTTATCATTATTGCACTCTGGACATGTCTGTAGGTGCTCAGCTCCTTCCCTCAGTATGAACACCAGCATCTAGTGACTAATAGCACAAGTTTTATGTTTATTAACAATTCCTCTGATGTGCCAGATGTGCATCTCGTTTTTGCTATGCCGATCTCAACTCCCAAGTCTATTATTCTGGCGAATGATGTGGATTCACTGCCCACAATTCACTGCCTCCAAAGTCGTCCACCTTCCCATGACTCGGAGGGCATTAATAGTATCAGCATGATCCATTGATTGACCGTTGGTAGTGACAGCAGATCCAGCCAGCCTATCAGCTCTTTCATTTTCATCGACGCCCACATATCTCCGAAATGAAAATAAAGGTGACTCCACATAGTGGCCATCTTTAATGACTCAAGCCACTGCCTTAGCACTGAACCTGAATGAACCCTTCGGAGATTTGGTGTTTTTTTGGAAGAATGCAAAGAACGATATCTAGCATAGAATGGTGGAAAAACTGATGGGACCATCCTCCCTGAGACAGATGCAAACCGTAAAATGATTAAAGAAATTAACCTAGCTCATCTCTCTTCCTGAGCATACTGATTGAATCACTGAGAAAGCATGTATGGGTAAAAGCCTGTGATTGAGCCTGAGAGCAACCAACTGATAATTGTTGGTCAAGGTATCACTTTCCCCGACAGTGGGCATATAATCACACTAAAGGGAAAATGACTCATGCGATCAGACTCCTGTGGTCACTGTCAAGAAGGAAGGTAGTGGTGAACTACCTTCTTCAGGATGCCAAGATGGTAGATTGTGGACTGTTCTTCTTCTTTTTGTTCCCCCCTGCCAGTGGTCTTCAGATGAGAAGGCCACAGGCCTCTATGAAGGCTGCGATGCGACACATGTCCTGCACTGATCTATACAGCTTGCTTTCCAATGGAATACCAACCAACCAAACCTGGCATCTGTCTACTCGTTTTTGGACATCTGCTTCATTAGGGGGAAATAGTCGGGTGCCATAGTTTGCAGGTTTCTTGTTCTTTTTCAGGTTTGGCTGTCATTTTCAGGTTTGGCTGTTATTTTCAGGCTTGGCTGTCATTTTCAGGTTTGGCTGTTATTTTCAAGTTTGGCTGTCATTTTCAGGTTTGGCTGTCATTTTCAGGTTTGGCTGTCATTTTCAGGTTTGGCTGTCATTTTCAGGTTTGGCTGTCATATTCAGGTTTGGCTGTCATTTTCAGGTTTGGCTGTCATATTCAGGTTTGGCTGTCATATTCAGGTTTGGCTGTCATATACAGGTTTGGCTGATGTTTGGTGCAGGAGAGCCTAGCATATGATACCACAACATCCAGCTTAAGAATGGAGGTGGAGGCGGTCACTGCAGCTTTCCGCTGGCTAGAGAACACGACACACACACACATTGTAATTGTAACTGATTCAGAAAGCATGCTGAGGAAGATCAGAACAGGTATGCTTCGTGCAGAGTGGCATGCTTCGCTGCGGAAGACACGAGTGAGCAGCATTGTCTGGATTTTTTCACCGGGTCACACCGGTGTGTTGGGAAATGAACAGGCGGACAGACTGGCTGGATCTGCACAACTTGGTGGAATACTGCTACATGATAGGGCAGACTTGGTTAGTGCCTTGTGGGAGAGCGTGTACAATGTGGAGGAGCAGATGGATCACCACAGTCTGGTGAGATTGATGCAGATGGGGGTGAGGAGAGGTTCTGGCAGAAGCTCAAGGCTCAGAAGGGAGGCAAGACGGACGTTTAATCTATCGGAACTCTTCGCTGGCTGCTGAAGATGGGGACGGAGCGCTTATGGGAATGCCCCGAGTGCTGAAATCTAATCAAATCATTCAGGTTTGGCTGTCATGCCTATTTATACTGACTAAACCTTTTGGCCCTGAACCTCAAACTTTTCTGTGCTTTTCTGTTAGGATGTGCTTCCTTGGAAGAAATGGCTGTAATGTTGACCACTTAAGCTGTTGTTTGCTGGTTGGTTTATTAAAAAACTGTATGGGTCAACCACCATATGTATTGTACTGTTGACGTGAAAAGGTCCTTTAATTGTCTTCTATCTGTCTATTCTTCTTCTTCTTCGCTTTCACCAGCTGTACACTCTGGCGTAAAGTTCTGGTTGTTCGTCCACTTCTGGACTGCAGTCCTGCTCCAGAACCTGAGTGTTGCGTGTGCATCAGTTTTACAGATCTGATTCAATTGAATGCAGACTGCTGGTTCCTTGCCTCTCAGTTAGTCGACTCTTACGACATGCTTTTGAAGATGCAGTGGGTCTGTTCTTGTTTTCCTCACAATGGGCCCCTTGTTTTTCCTCACACGGGGGGGGGGGGGGGGGGGGGGGGGGGATCTCTTTGATTGATCTTTTCTGACCAGTTGGTAACTCCAAGTGTTTGATCTGCCTCAAGGTTCAAGGTTAAAGTTGAGAGGATCGACTTCATTGCACAGGGTTTTATCCCATATGACTCGGCAGAACGGCTAGCCGCATGTTGAAAGCGCCAGACTGAGCACGAACTCCGTAGCTCCGGTGATGCCTCCCAGAGATCTGCATAAAAATATCCCTCGTAAACTGAATGGCGCAGCTGTGAAACAAAACGAGGACCTTCAGAGCACGAGGCAAATGGCTTGACCACTTTACCATGGAGACCCCTGTTTGGCTCATGGTGTACTCCCATTCAACACAGTTTTTGTCTGTCAGTTATTTGCCTTCCTCTGTGCATGCCCCAAACATTGCAGTCTATTAGCCCTCATGATACCTGTCATTAGTGGTGCTTTTGTTTTGTTGATGATGCTGATGATGAGTTTGATGTCTGTTCCCCAGATGATGATGTACAAGAATGGCAGATGTGCTGGCGTTGCATTTACTGATGTCTTTGAAGGCACCTACTACCCAGCAATCTCTCTGTACAAGAATGCATCGGTGAGAGCAAGTTATGGCTGAAAGTGTTTAAATTTGAGTGTTGGATCTGTGAAAGAATGCAGGGGGGAGAGCAAGTTATGGCTGAAAGTGTTTAAATCTGAGTGTTGGATCTGTAAAAGAATGCAGTGGTGAGAGCAAGTTATGACTGAAAGTGTTTAAATCTGAGTGTTGGATCTGTGAAAGAATGCAGTGGTGAGAGCAAGTTATGACTGAAAGTGTTTAAATCTGAGTGTTGGATCTGTGAAAGAATGCAGCGGTGAGGGCACATTGTTGCTGGAAGTGTTTAAATCTGAGTGTTGGATCTGTGAAAGATTGCATCGGTGAGAGCAAGTTATGACTGTAAGTGTTTAAATCTGAGTGTTGGATCTGTGAAAGAATGCAGTGGTGAGGGCACATTGTTGCTGGAAGTGTTTAAATCTGAGTGTTGGATCTGTGAAAGAATGCAGCGGTGAGGGCACGTTGTTGCTGGAAGTGTTAAAATCTGAGTGTTGGATCTGTGAAAGATTGCATCGGTGAGAGCAAGTTATGACTGTAAGTGTTTAAATCTGAGTGTTGGATCTGTGAAAGAATGCAGTGGTGAGAGCACCTTGTTGCTGGAAGTGTTTAAATCTGAGTGTTCGATCTGTAAAAGAATGCATCGGTGAGAGCAAGTTATGGCTGAAAGTGTTTAAATCTGAGTGTTGGATCTGTACAAGAATGCATCGGTGAGAGAAAGTTATGGCTAAATGTGTTTAAATCTGAGTGTTGGATCTGTACAAGAATGCATCGGTGAGAGCAAGTTATGGCTGAAAGTGTTTAAATCTGAGTGTTGGATCTGTGGAAGAATGCATCGGTGAGAGCAAGTTATGGCTAAATGTGTTTAAATTTGAGTGTTGGATCTGTGAAAGAATGCAGGGGGGAGAGCAAGTTATGGCTGAAAGTGTTTAAATCTGAGTGTTGGATCTGTAAAAGAATGCAGTGGTGAGAGCAAGTTATGACTGAAAGTGTTTAAATCTGAGTGTTGGATCTGTAAAAGAATGCAGTGGTGAGAGCAAGTTATGACTGAAAGTGTTTAAATCTGAGTGTTGGATCTGTGAAAGAATGCAGCGGTGAGGGCACATTGTTGCTGGAAGTGTTTAAATCTGAGTGTTGGATCTGTGAAAGATTGCATCGGTGAGAGCAAGTTATGACTGTAAGTGTTTAAATCTGAGTGTTGGATCTGTGAAAGAATGCAGTGGTGAGGGCACATTGTTGCTGGAAGTGTTTAAATCTGAGTGTTGGATCTGTGAAAGAATGCAGCGGTGAGGGCACATTGTTGCTGGAAGTGTTAAAATCTGAGTGTTTGGATCTGTAAAAAGAGATTGCATCGGTGAGAGCAAGTTATGACTGTAAGTGTTTAAATCGGAGAGTGTTGGATCTGTGAAAGAATGCAGTGGTGAGAGCACCTTGTTGCTGGAAGTGTTTAAATCTGAGTGTTCGATCTGTAAAAGAATGCATCGGTGAGAGCAAGTTATGGCTGAAAGTGTTTAAATCTGAGTGTTGGATCTGTACAAGAATGCATCGGTGAGAGAAAGTTATGGCTAAATGTGTTTAAATCTGAGTGTTGGATCTGTACAAGAATGCATCGGTGAGAGCAAGTTATGGCTGAAAGTGTTTAAATCTGAGTGTTGGACTGTGGAAGAATGCATCGGTGAGAGCAAGTTATGGCTAAATGTGTTTACATCTGAGTGTTGGATCTGTGGAAGAATGCAGCAGTGAGAGCAAGAGAGAAGAAAGTAGTCCACCCGTGATTTCCATAATCGTTTAGTTCTCCTACTGGATGTCTGCTGTGAAAACCTGTAGGATTGAAAGAGTTTATTACTGCCTTGTGTGTGTTCCATTGGAAAGTAAAATGTACCGCTTTTATCAGAGTTTTAATGAGTCTTAAATATCTAGTGATTTACTAATAGAATTTTTTTTCTCTCTGTTGTTCTTTTTATAAGATCACTGCAAACTTTGGACCCAAGTTCAGATACCCACCCAAGGACATTGAATACAAGCCAGTATGTTTAAAAAAAATATTGTCTTTTTTTCTCACCTATGTTTCTTCCATTTCCCTCTTTATTTGCTCTCGCTCTTCCCTCTTTCTGCCCTCATCCTCTCTCTCTCTCTGGCATCCTCTCTCTATCCCTCATTCTCTCTCTTCCATACCCCTTTTCACCTAACTCTGTTTCTCCCTCCTTTTTTCTCCCCTCCCCTCTCCCTTCTTTCTTTCACCCATCTCTAACATGCAGTCTCTAACATGCAGGAGTCTCTTTGAGAAAGTAGTTAATCCATTTGCCTCACACTTTGAAATTGTGCATTAGGTTTCAGATTCCATTACTCACTTTGTGAGTGTAGATATTTTTGACGGATCACAACTAGAGCTATTGAGTGTGTGCTTTGTGTGGCATATAATGAACACAGAACAAGGGAAGACCTTGGAGGAGATGGAACAGCGACATAGAAAACCAGCCTTGAAGAAATTAAGATCAACCCGTACAACACATTAGAAAGAGCACAGAAGAACCTCTCATCTCTCCCCAACATTTTGATGAAGTAACTTGAGGAAAAGAAGCTTTGTGTGACACTCTGGGCATGTGATCAGCCATTTTGCAGAAAGAGACTGAGCCTTAAATGATAAACTCTACACCTCTTGCCTTTGAACATTGTTTTTTCTCTATAATCCCCTTTTCTCTCTCTCTCTCTCTCTGTCTCTCACTCTCTCTCTCTCTTTCTTTACCTATTTTTATCTGATGACTTATGACTGTATTATGTGTGTGCATATTTATTGTGTGTTTGTGTTGTCTGTGTGTATGTGTTGTAATTGTGAGTATGTGTTGCATCTCTGTGTATATGTTTCGTGCCAATGTGTGCTGTCAGTGTGTACTCATACATTTGTGTAAGAGTGTTTGTGTATGTCTGTGTGTTTGTGTCTGTTTTACTGTTTCGTTTGTTCTTCTTCCTCTTGTGTGTGTGTTGTATATTTGAAGGTGTGAATTTGCCAATCATGCTTTTTTTATTTTTTATTTGCATTTTGTACTATTAATATTTTGATATGAGAACATAAAATGCTTGGTATATAAAATACAATTGCTGTGTGAAAGATGAGTGTTTGAAAGGGCTGACTGTAAGATCGGCTTGCATGCCAATTTGTATCTTTTTAAAAGTGAAGCTTGTTCGTTCATTCTGTCTCCATGATGTCTCCCCATCTCCCAGGTAGTTCGTTCTGTCTCCATGATATCTCTCAGGTAGTTTGTTCTGTCTTCATGATGTCTCCCCATCTCCCAGGTAGTTCGTTCTGTCTCCATGCTTTCTCCCCATCTCCCAGGTAGTTCGTTCTGTCTCCATGATGTCTCCCCATCTCCCAGGTAGTTCGTTCTGTCTCCATGCTGTCTCCCCATCTCCCAGGTAGTTTGTTCTGCCTCCATGCTGTCTCCCCATCTCCCAGGTAGTTCGTTCTGTCTCCATGATGTCTCCCTGTCTCCCAGGTAAATTCCAAGACTTAATGATGATTGCTCTTTTATCAACAGATGGCTGTAGCAGCGGAGCAGGCCTTAGTGGAATACACTCTGGCAGACATAGTCTATCATGTGGAGAATGAGGACACAATTCCCAATTTCTTGTAAATTTCAGCTGCATTTCATATTCCATTGTACTTCGTATTTTCTAGAATATACTTGTTTTGGCCATGTGTGTGGGATCAGTGAAGTTGCGGCTATGTGGCACACTGGTTTACGGGGTGTCTTTAAGTGCTACAGAAGATGCTTTTGAAACATACTGTGTGTGTGTTGACCAACGTGGAGTTGCAGTGGGGAGGTATCGCAAGACTGGTTAACTGGAGGTTGATCAGTGATACTTCAGTGCGTGGCCAGGTAGCTGATGGGAGGTCTGGATTCTTTTCATCAAGTGGTGCATTTACCCTGGGTCCTTGAGTGGTGGGGTCCCTTGAATAGGGAACCTTCAGAGGACTGCCCCTTCACGTCACATAGGTATATTTGCACATTAGGGTGGAGGGTCTTCCATAACAGCACATGTACATAGTACGCTAGGGTTATTTGTCCATGTTTTAGAGACTGCCTATGTGCATGTAGGTGACAGGAAGGACTTGACAGTGACTCATTGGTCACCAATTCATCGTTGTTGCAATGTGTTTGTCCATAATAAAGAGGCTGACTGCACTATAAGATCATACTTGGTGACTAGGTGTAGTGTATTGTATGACAGTACTCGTAGACAGTGTTAGTGTTTGGACATGTAACCTGTACCAGATATATTGTGGTTGTTAAATTGTTATGGCGCCTGGTTTATAGTGGTACCTCTGTTGTCATTCACCATCTTGTACTCCAGTAATCACCATTAGCATGTGCCATGCCAATGAAAGTGGGTGGCTATGGTTTGTAGCCATGGCCTGTGTGTATGTTTGGAGGACGGACATTTATCAATAATTTCCCTAGGCACTTCAAGGACCCATTTCAACTTATTGGTGCATCAGGCATATGATGCTTGACCCATATTTATATAGATGAGTTGGCAGTCAGTTGGTGATGTGATCACCATCACACCAGACTTTGAACATTATTATCTCAAAATGGAAATGTGTAAAACATTGAGTCTCAGCTCTGATGCTCACGAGATTATTTTTTTCTTTAGTTTTATAAACATTGAAGCTGAGATATTACTTCTTAAAAACAAAAAAGCTGGAGAATTTAATTACCTTGTAAGTAAAGTTATCCAGGTGGAAATTCTGAAAAGGAAGGGGTAACATCAAGGTTGAATTGAGAATTGATATCATATCACTCAGGGCCTCTCATAAGTGCTCAGTCCTTATCTTCAGCATTAAGTGAAGATTTCCAATTCTAATGGCACCAGTAACCATCTGATTGAATATCCGTCTCATCCTTCCCTTGAGTGTTGAACATCGGTCAGATCCCCTGGTAACTCCTTGCATTGCTATTCTCCTTAGACTTTAATGATCTATCTGCGCCTCCGCACTGTTCACTCGCTCCCGAAAGGGCCCTCGCAATATAAGGAGGTTACATCAAGAATAAACCAAGCAGTTGCCATGGGTAACAATGTATGAAGGTCAAAGGGGATTGGTCTGAAGAGAAAACTCAGACAATACAAAAGCAGCATTTTAGGAATACTGAACTATTATACAGCAGTGAATGTTGGAAAATTACACAAGGGATTACACATAAACCAGAGGTTTTTCAAAACAAATTACAAAGGAAAATCCTTCAAATATTTTGGCCAAACAAGATCACAAATGAAAACCTGAGTGGAAAATATGTTCTTCATCACTGGCAAACGTTTTTAAAGAAAGAAGATGGAAATGACTTGGACATGTTTGCAGAATGTCTCGTGGCACTTCAGAAAGGACAACTCTCCAGCAGACGGCAGATGAAAAAGTAAGACGTGGACGAACTAAGGATACCTGGAGGAAGGACAGCAGACAGTAAAATGAAAAACAACATGAGATCCCATAAAAAGAAAAGCAGCAGCCCAGCAGACAGTGGAGATCGCTTGCTTGTGAGTGTATTATGTGTCAACAAAGACACAGTGAGGATACATATAAATTGCTTATCATAAATTTGTTTAAGCACCACCTACCAATGGAAAAACTGTTTCTACATGGAGTGGTAATTTTAAAAAAAACTGTCATTATTGTCTGTTTACTGAAGGGCAGGGAGCCTAAGCATTTAGGCGCCAGGTGGATAGTGCTTTCGCCGCTGACTGCAAAAGGTAGATTGTTTATTTTTTCACGTGACAGAAACACATCACCCTGACAAGGGATTGAACTCAGGTCACCCGCATAAGAGCCTGATGCTGTAACCTCTTAACCAGCCGCTCAAGACATGCTGCATTGCCATTCAACTGAGGACCTGGATATGGCAAAGGGAAGCATATGACAAGCACTAGGAAGCTTTTTTGAATGTTGCAGTTTGTTTTATGTGTATGAACAACCTGCTAAGGGACCAGCCAGCCTTTTCTACATAGAGTGATGACCCTGGGTAAAAACATGTTACTGCATCGCCGCACAACCTAGGACATGGGATATGGCGAAAAGAAGGATATTTATAAGCTCTTTTGACTGGGTGAATGTTGTTTGTTTTATATGTAATGCAACTTTGTTGCCCTTCTCTCACTTTGAATCCTAATGGAGTGGATGTTGTCAGGTTATTAGTCAGTTCCATCTTCACAGCCAACGAATCACTCCCTAACTTCTTTTCCCATGCTGGTGAAAAAAAAACACACAAACCAACGTAAACAAATTATTATTATTGCCTATCGCTGTCCTTTGAGAAAAATCAGACAGTAGTCCAGGCAAAAAAACAAAAACTTGCATACGCATTCAGTGCATGAGGTAGCCGCCAGACCAAAAGTCTGACACTGGAATTGCACTTCATCGTTGATGAAAGCAATCATCGGCGACCGGATCGGATACTGGCTGGCTGGTAGAGAATTTTGTCGCCGGTCAGGACAGTATTTGGGTCTGTCTCCTTTGATCGCATCAACACTGCAGGAGTCCTTTTCATGGCTCTTGGTAGCGTGCAAGGCTAAGCCATTTTATATGGCACACTTACCTAGTCATAATTGTGACCTAACACTCCCACTTCAGGGATGCTGAATGAACGTGACGATAATTCCCCCCCCCCCCCCCCCCCCTACCCCCAGCAAATCACCCATATACCTATGAGGAAAGAAGCAGTCATGACAAACCAACAGGTATGCATGCATTTCCTACTACATAATGTTTACCACAAGTTGTGAAACAACCATCAAAACGCATTTTCTGAATATGTATTTCACAACAAACATCACGGGGGGGGGAGCGAAGGGAGCTCACAGTGTCGCACAATGCATTCAATTTAGTAGGTGGCCAACAGAACCGGATTTCGCCTTTACCTCGTTCGTTGTCCCATCCAGTTTCCGGCTGGGGGCTGAAACCCCAACATTTCACAGAATTACTAGCATGTACGGGGTCCACCAAGTTAAGGCAGGGCTGCCAATAAGATTTTTATCAAAACCCAAGCTAAGATGACCAAAAAACCCAAGCAAAGAACAAAAACCCAGGATTAATAAAAAGTACAAATTTCATAGTTACGAAACGAAACATTTACTTACTTTTATATATGGTTATATTTTTAAAAACCCAAGATTCCAAAATCTGAACCCAAGGCGTCATATAAAACCCCAGATCTTGGGGGAAAACCTCAGTATTGGTAGCCTGAGTTAAGTTGGGATAGGCTTGAGCAAAAGAGGCTAAGAAAAACAGTCTTGTATTGTGCTTCATTGTTTAATTAATACCCCGTCATGCATATGTATAAGCAATTGAAACATCGGTAGTCAGTTTAAGGGTGACAAGATGGACTTCTTTGTGTTCAGTTGTATCCAACATAGTCGGGTTTTTTTCTTTCTCTGTAGAGCGACTGGTCTCCCGAAATCACGCGCGCACACACACGCACAGACAAATCCAGAGTTCCAGAAACCACCTACACGAATCCCCATAACTCATGCCTTCACGAACCAAAGTATAGTCCTAATTGTAAACCCAACTTTCAGAATACCTAGGTTAACCCTGTTCAACTAGTTGTGCGACTTTTTACAACAGAACATTTTGGAGAAAGGCGAGAGGAAGACCAAGAAAGAGATGGATACATGGTGTAGCAGAAACCTGTTAAAAAAGATGAAAAAATCCATCGCCCAAGCCACCAGAGAAGCGCAAGACAAATACTTCTAGAAAACCACGACACGGGGCTACAACCTGGTATCAGTGAGACGACAAAAGAAGAAGTTGTTATAAGTATATGGTGATAGTGAACACGACGACAATGTCTTTAATGATATTAACAACAAAGGATATGACAACTTGCTGTGAGGTTGTTGAGGACCTTTGCTTCTCTTGAGGGAAAATGGCAGAAGGAGGAGGAAGAGGAGAAGAAGAAAAAGTGAAAAGAATAAGAAGAAAAATACAAACGTTAGGTTAGCAAACACTGTTGTATGTGACTAAACATACTCCTAAGGGCGCTGCGTGGTCTCGGGGCATGGTGTCTGCCTGACATAGAGCTCAAGGTCAACGCACTCTAAAACGGGTAGCAGGAATTTACATGGGAAATGAAAGTGTCCGATGAGGACTACATCTCCTTTCAAGTGCCAATTATTATACATAAAAATACGGGAAACTTCATTTTATACGACCATCGGACCTGTCACCAGATGCATGAATGGTTTGAAAACGGTTCTTTAATATTTCTAGACGGGTGTCAAATAAGGAGGGAGCTGTGAAGGTGAAGCGTTTAGACGCTCGCCTGTCAGCCCGAATGTCTAGAGTTTGAATCCGCAGTCGGTCACACTTTTTAATGACCTTAATACCCACGTCGATCCAGTCTACAATTGGTACCAGGTAAAGTCCTTGAAAACTAAGGCGGCCGACGTGGTGTTGACCAAATTAAATAGCGAGTGCCCAGTGGTTTATAAAATGTGTCTAGCATAATACGCTCGATGTGCCACTGGAGTGCATGTCTGTGTTTAGTCGCGCAAGATCACTGCTACAATAGACTAATGGGTCTTACCTGGAGAGAAAAAGAATCCTTGACTTTTTATCTTTAACAGGCGAGGAGCCACATATCATGGTCTACGACGCACAAGTTCTTTGTAAAGAAAAGGCAGGCATTGTTAAAAGTCAGCTTTCAAGCTTTTACCGACTCAGATTATGACAACACACACACATGCACACACGCGCCCACATAAACACACGTTCGTGTACTCTACGGTGCACAGCAGGGTTTATGTTACAAAGCTGTACTTAGATGAACATAAATAACAAATAAAATATTTGGTCGAGTTTAAAAGAAATAATTTTCTTACAAGACCCACACTGTAGGGACAAGTTGAAGACACCAGATAGCGATACAACTGGGAGGGTAACATAACTGGATGGGCCAACGGCGGTCTCATAGAGTGTACAACAAGGATGAGAGAGAGAGAGAGAGAAAAAGGAAGAGAGAGAGAGAGAGAGAGAGAGAGAGAGAGAGAGAGAGAGAGAGAGAGAGAGAGAGAGAATATCGTGTTCGGAGAGCGAGTTGAAGACCCCTTTGAACTGTCATTGTGGATACAGACCCCTATTTGATTGACTGTACGAAACCCGGAGTGTAGTTGTAAATGCATATAATTATATGCCCGATTGGAGTGTATATGGAACTATATTTAAATATGTACTGTGTACAAATCTATTTCAAAATTATAATACAGTATTTAATTTTAACACAATAAGTATAACTCTAATGTAATTATATTGTCGAAATAAAAAACAACCACAACACATTCAATGAGGATTAATATATTCTCTACCGTTTTGATTATACCACACAACACTCAAGTGGTACTGGCAAACTGTGTAACGTAAACAGTATGGCGGACTACAGTGTTTGGGGAAGTGATAGACTGCTAAGAAAAAAAACGAAACGTTAGCAAACTACGTTAATGTTTTCCAGTAACTACTATGACTGGAATTCACTATTTCAAACACACATGAGTCTTCCTTCGGATGATGACGACGACATAAGCATGTTGTCTTCGCCGTACCCGTCTACCGTTCATGAATGGACTAAAGCAATTCGCCGGCCCACTTCCTATCGCGTTGGCAATGCAAGATTTCACTTGAAACCCAGGGTGGTTTTATATGGTGCGCTACTTAGCGCATCCATTCTTATTTTGTTGATCGTGCTTATGCCGAAGTCACCGCCATTAGTGTCGTGTGATTCAGGCAAGAACTCGTTTACGAGTTCTTATGATCCTACCTATCCACTAACAAATCCGTTAAAAACTCCAGATGGAATCATCTATCGCATTGGTTTGATCACAGACCTGGACACAGACTCCAAGAGCAAGGAGACAAAGACGACTTGGTTTAGTTACTACAGGCAGGGAAATCTAACTTTGTCAGAAAATAGAGATTTGATAACTGTAAAATTAACTCTGCCACAAGTGCTTGTTTCTAATATTGCTGCAGGAGACCGAGGGATGGAGTTGTCTGAGCTTGTCACATTCAATGGGAAGTTGTACAGTATCGATGATAGGACCGGTATAATATATCAGATCGAGCGTAACACAGTAATCCCTTGGGTTATATTGTCTGATGGTGATGGGAAGGTCAATAAAGGTACACTGATTTACAAATATTTACAGTAAATTTGATTTTTCTGCCATTTATCATTGCAGCTTGTTCCATGAAGCCTAGACCCTCAACCAGCTCATGCCAAGTTGTGGTATTCTTTGCTTTTGCCTGCAGCTCACCCTATATTCTCTCAACCTTTTAAACCCACCATTCTCTCCGAATCCCTTCTTCACATGTTTTTTGGTCAGCCTTTATTTCAGTGCGTTCCATTGCAGAGACATTCGTGTTGTATAATATTGTCCTCAGGTTTGATTAACATGTGTCCTAACACTAGCATTGTTTCCTCACCTCTTGATTCACTGCAGTTTGATTCTCTCCCAAAGCTTCAAATTACTGATCCTATACCATGTAATTCTGTCTGTTCTCGTCAAGTGCCAGTCAGTGAATGTTTGTAGTGTATTGGTAATTGTTTTTTTCATCTTTGTTGATGTTTCAGCTCCATACAACATTTTACTGATTTGATATTAGAGTTAAATATTTTAAAAAATAGGAGAGCCGTGATGGTGTAGCTGCTAGATACTAGCCTTCCAGCCTGAAGATATGTGTTCGAATTCGCATCGAGTTTTCAGAAATGACCTTGGCTCCCAGTTTGACTCAGCCTAAAATAGATACCAGGTAAAGCTCTGAAAGTAAGTAAATGAACCCACTTATCTTGGTGTTACCGTCAACCCAAGGCTAATATGGAACCCCCCCCCAAAAAAGAATTTCAATCAATTGCAGTGATTGTTTTTTTAAAAGAGCAGGAATATAGTAGAGATCCTCTCAAAAAGAGCAGGAATTTATTAGAGATCCTCCCTTGAAAAAAAAAAAAACAACAACTGAATTACACTCAGAATATGAACTTCCACTTCATGACCCCTCCCCCCCCCCCCCCCCCCCCCCCCCTTCCAACAAAAAAAAAAAATTGCCTTCTTCTTCTTCTTCTCTTCCACCTTGTACCTCATCGAAGTGTCGGGGGGAGATGTAATGTTTCGTTGATAAGCTCTGTCAAGAGCACTATAAGACTGATGTTCTTTTCTGTAAGGCTGTTCTTAATGCCATCACTCCATATTTTCCGAGGTCTTCCACTCGCTCTATACCCGTTGTAACGTTTTAGTGTGGCTCGCTGTGGCGGATAGTACCAGGGCATTCTTGTTAGGTGTCCAAACCATTTCATTTGTTGTTGTTTGATGACCTGTAAGACTGGCTTTATTCCTAGCATTCATCTGATTTCATGATTTTGTATTCTGTCTTTCCTTGAAACTCCTGCAGCTCTTCTAAGGCATTTCATCTCTGTTGTCACAATTTTACGTTCATTGGAGGATGTAAGTGTCCATGTTTGGCACTGATAGCATAGTGTTGGCAAAAAAATAGTTCTAATAAAATTCACTTTAGTACTCCGAGGTATCTGCTTGTGTGTCAACAGGGGAGATAGTTGACCCATTACTTGATTAGCTTTGGCACATCTGGAGCTAATTTCTCTGTCCAGTTTTCCGTCCGATGTAAAAATTGCTCCCAAAAATACTTAAATTCCTCTGTTTGTCTCAGGGTGTTGTTTTTTAATTTTATTTCTAAATTGTCTTCTTATCATCATTGTCTCTGTCTTCGTAGTGTTTATTTTCATATTATATTCCTCCCCTTTGTTATTAATTTGATTTAGGTTGCCTACTTATTCCAAATGCCCACATTGGAACTCCTAAGTACTTCACAGAAATCAGAGACACCAGAGATGGTATCCTGACCAAAGTAGAAGAGACTGTCTTAGAAATACAATCACCAGTTAGCTGTTCAAAGAAAACATCACAAAAACATACCTTTAAAAGTGTTCACAGATAGCTGAGCAAAGGAAAACTGTAAGGGAGAGAAGAGGTGGAATCTATGTTAAATAGACCAATGGTGCCCTAAAAAAATGCAGTCTCCCTACACTGCTCCAGTGCGGGGGCCGCGTTAGTGCAGTCGATAGGATACTCGCTTTCAAATTCAGCTGTGACTCACTGCAGCCTGCGGCTGGTATTCGAAACCGGGGTTCACCCAGCCTCTAGGAAATGGGTACCAGAGTTAATACTCTGGGGTAAATGCAGGAACATTGCTGTAGCTACGGAGGTTCATGCCGATGGCGACACAGATGGACAGTTTCTTATCAGCAGAGCACTCGTGGTTTATAACCATGTGCAATGACGCTGGTTCACATCTCCCGACTTTACTCCTCCAGTTACAAAGCTGAGGCAGTGGCACTAGGAAATTAGTCTTCGCCTTTTGCGACTTGCTTTTTAGGGTGGCAGTGGGTCTCCTCCCCACCCCCTTACCCCCACCCATCCCCAAATGGGGTCCTGGAGAATCCACATGGGCAGTAAAGTAAGCCATTTGCTAAATATCTCAGCCATTATTTTATTTGATTGTGTCTTTTACATTTAGTCACAGTTTTTCATTAAGTTACTTTTACATTTTATCACAGTTTTACATTTACATCTAGTCAGAATTACTTTATGAATCCAATTTCTTCATTTAATTTTGCCATTTGCTTTTTCGTTACTTCAAATTATATTGTTTAAATGTATTTTGCTAGGTTTTAAATGTGAGTGGGCCACAGTTAAAGATCAGCGTTTATATGTTGGTGGACTCGGCAAAGAGTGGACCACAGAGAAAGGAGAAGTGCTAAATCTCAATCCACAGTGGGTGAAATCTATAGGCCCTGAAGGTGATGTTGAACATATAAACTGGCACGACAAATACAACGCTCTCCGAGCCAAAACAGGAATGTTATTACCAGGTAATGTTTTGCCAGTTTATACTGTAATCTAAATTCTTCTTCTTCACCGTCACTGTCTGTAAACTGCAGTGAACAATTCTTGTTGTTCATCCGCCTCTGAACTTTAGTCGTGAACCAGAACCTGGGTGTTGCATGCACATTCATTTACTTACTTACTTACTTAGTCGCTCCTCTTCTACCTTGGGGTGTAGAGGTTTGCCAGAGAGATCGCCAGACATCTCTATCAGTAGTTTTCTTTCTGGCTTTGTTCCATTCCAGTCCTCTGTCAGTTAGGGACTGTCGGATGTTGTCTTCCCAGCGCACCCTGGGTCGTCCTGGCGGTCTGGTTCCCTGGTTCTTAGCCTCCCATGCCTGCCATGGTGGCCGATTTTCTCCCATTCTGCATACATGTCCAAACCATCGTAACTGTGACTGATCCACTCGGGTTTGTAAGGACTGGGTATCAAGATCTTGATGTATTGTCTGATCGCGGACTTTGTCCCTTCTTGTCACTTGGACCACCTTTCTCAGATATCTCATTTCCGAGGCCTGCAGCTGGTTTCTGTGAGCTGTTGTCATTGCCCATGACTCACACCCATAGGTCAGGACTGGTACATAGGTAGAGCGGTAAACAGCCATTTTCGTCCTCTTGCCTATTTCTCTTTTGCTAAGAAACCCTCGGTTTATGGCCTGGAAGAGTCTCCCAGCAGCTGCTTTTCGTGTAGCCAGCTCAGTCTTAATGCCTCCATTTCGGTCTAATACAACTCCAAGGTATTTGAACTGGTTAACCTGCTCCAATGGACACTGTCCCGTC